GGGGCCACTCAGAATCGACGGCACGGCAGGTCGTGGGTGCGCACATATCTAGAGGGGCTTTTGAAGCGGGTTCAAGTAGGCTCGGGGCATACAGCCCCAGAAAGGATGTGTTTTGAGCGGAAGATAGGAATGAAAGGTGGGGGTTGTGGCCCGAAGTCTGACCTGCGAGGGCCGTGGTCCCCCGTTAGAGAGCAGGGAAGGTGGGCTGGAGGGTTTCGGGGGGCCTTCCGGCTCCAAAGGCAGGTTCCTAGACTTGGGCTGGGCCCAAGCTCCAGAAAGCCGCGCACCCGCCCACCACGTGCCAGGTCGCCGTGCCGCCGCCTCGAGGTCTCCCTCTCTGTGGAGCCTGCGGCTCCCCCTCGGGTCTGCTGGGAGCCGTTGCCCCTCTGGCGTTGTCAGGGCTGGCAGGCCAGCTCTGTTTTGCCGCCAAGGGGAGGCCAGGCAGGCGGCGGGGCGGGCACCGCCTCCTGATCGCAGTGCTGCGAAAGGAGCCGCCCGTAAGGCCAGGTGCATTAGGCTGCAGGTACGGCTGATGCTAAGCACAGAACAGCTGGCCAGCTGCCACAGCCAGTGGGGCTGGGCCGCCCTCCCCCATCCGCCGGGAGGGCTGCCGTCCCTGGGGCCGCCGCCGCCTCTAAGCCTTGCAGTGGACCAGTGTCCAGGCCCGAAAGGCCCGAGAGCCTTTCTGGAATGATGGAAATACGCCGCTGACTACCTGCACTGTTTGTACACTGGTCACTGGCCACGCGTGGCGTGTGAGTAACTTCCACGTGACTAGTGTGACGGAGACCGGAAGTTTAAATGTCAGCATTTAAATGGTGGGGGGGCCCTGGTGGCCTCGAGGCTGCTGACGAAGGGTCAGTGCCTTGAACCCACGCGCAGATCAGCAAGCGAAAGGAGCTGGTGGTCTGCAGATGGCACCGCCTTGGAGACCCTTCGAATTGGGACCGAGTGGATGGCACCCAACGAAAGCCGTGCGGGGCGAGTGGCAAGCCTGTTCGACTGCTAGGTCCGCAGGTGCCCCCAACCTTTCTCAAGTCACAGCAGATGCCGCTGGAGGCGGGGCAAGGACGATCGGCAGGTACGAAGGAAGCTCAGGGCCCACTGCAGCTGGAGAGGTGGCCCGATCTTGGGGTAGGAGGTGAGTGGCGTCCTTCCTTGGTGCCCCGAGTGGCGGCGGAAGCACCCCGGGAGGCATGGACTCAGTCTCGTCTTGCTGCCTGAGTGATGAGGCCGGAAACTGACTCCGGGCTGCCCTGAAATCACTTTCCAGTTTGACTCCTGTGCCCTTTAAAGTCCTCCGTTAGGGCGGCACTGGGCTTTAAGCGCTAATAGGGAACATTTTAAATGTAACAAGTCCTGGTTCACGTTGTTTG